GGCTGGCATGTGGTGCTGGGGGATCGAACCGCAGTCCCTGTGCTTTGCTTAGCTTAGTTTGTTCCAAGTAGGTGCTTTAGACCACTGAGCCATCTCTCCAGCCCTCCTTCAGATAATTTTAAAGTATCCACTTTGCAGTGTGCAGATAGATATTAGTATCACCTGGTCTTCCCCAAAGCATCAATTGTTACACATTTTCATCTTTTAATGTAGAAAAATCTATCAATATTTTCCTTTCAAGTTAATTCATTGCTTTTCACCTAATAAACTCTTTTCTAAATAATAAAAAAAAGGAATTAGTGGCAAAAAGCATTTTGAGTGTGACTGATAGGGGATGGATGCAGACAGACTGAGACATGGTCAAGAAAATCTGGCTGAGGCAGCAGGACCTTGAGGTCAGCCTGGGCTACATAGGGAGTACAAGGCCACCTCGGATGACAGTGAGACCCTATCTTTTTTTTAATGTACAGGGTACAGGGTCTCACTACAAAGCTTGGGCTCTAATGATCCTGTTTTCAACCTCCTCTGTGCTGGGATTACAGGTGTGTGCCACCACACCTGGTCACAACCCACTTGGGGTTCCAGGGGTGGTCCTGGTCCCTGCGCTTGCCTAAGTAGGTGCTTAGTTTGCTGACTATCTCTCTGGCTCTGTCTTAGAAAACAAAAATAAACACTTTCCCAACCCAACAACAAAAACTTCAAGTCAGGTAAAAGTAGAAATTTTATTTTTAGTGCTGAGGCTTAAGCTAGGGTATCATGAGTGTGTGTGATAGCTACATCCTCAGCCTGAAATTAGAATCTGTCAATCAGAGACCTGGAGACTAAATAATGAAAAGTTGCGAGACAGAAATGTTAGGTTGGGTGCCAGCAGTTTCTTGGCAGCCAGTACAGAGAATGCGAAGGTGGAGGGGAGAGAAAGTGTTCAAGTATGAGAACAAAGGCTAGAAAGACAGCCGGATAGTCTGATATTTAAAGAAGAGAAGAACACAAGTTCTATTTTATACAAATTTTATTCTTCTTTAAAAATGAATCACCTATAGTGATTTAAAAGTTTAAAGAGGTAAATAACGTGTATAGATGTCAAACACTACAAATTAAAATAATTTTTTCTCGTTGGTTGGTCAAAACCAGAAAAAACCCTTAGTATTCATATATTTAACATTTGAGATTTTTACCTAAGTAAGGAGCTCTGAGTCCATGACATGGCAGTGTAGGGTTTGTCTGAGGTACAATCTGAACATATACCCAGGGATCATAACTATCCCCTCAACTAGTTTATGAGCCTGACCAGCCATTGCTTCTGTAATTATGATTTTTTAAGCATTTCATCTGAGGAATCCAGTGCAACAGTAGTAGAAGAGCTCCACAAACTTAGGGCACACCTATGAATGTCAAAGATTTATTTTACACAAAAATTATGTAAGGATTTTCAAAAGATCTTCATCCTGTGTTTAAAAAACACTATTATCCCCCTCTTAAGGAGGACATAAAAGATGCCAGAAAATTTATAATTTCTAAAATGTTGGTATAAGATATATTTTAAATACAATCAAAGGGTTTAGGAAGGAAACTAAACACTTATAACGTGGCTTTGAAGAAATGTTCATGATCGAGGGTTCTGGTAAGACAGTATTCTCCGGCAACAGTCCTACTCACTGTGCACTATCTTACAGATTCTCTATTAGAGCAATAGAAAAGGATGTTGGAGAAATTTAAGCCGCAGCCAAGAAGAGATTTACTGTATTTGCTTCATACTTTTTTAGAACGTCTCAAATTTCTTTTCTGCTTGAAAATAGGAGAATTCAGGAAACACAAATCTGTGAAAGGGTCTCCTCTTCTTAGTTTCCTACAAAGGTATAAAGAGACTTCAGGCATAATTATAAATATCCCGGCATTGTGCAATATAAAATTATTTTAAAATATGCCAATTTTAACGTGCTTGCTTCAGTTACCAAGTCTTTACAGTTCAAGGTAAGATTCACTTCTGAACGATGCCCCATAGCTTCTCTCCCCACACAGCTCTCTACAGACGAGTTTGCATGGATACTTACGAAATGAGTGTCGGCTCCTTATAGTTCACACTGCCTGTGCACCTGCGCTTGGGAAGACTCATGGGTGTGCTTTCCTTATTCCTTTTTGGAGATGCAGAAAGTCTCCTGATTTTTACTTGAGGAAACAAGAGAACATTGGTGATATCCTTTAGGTTACAATTCTGTGATGAACGTGGTGAGTGAGTCTTGGGTGTTGTACCTAGAAAAACAATTTTTACTGAGCATGGTTCCAAGAAAAATTCACAGAAAATCGTACATATAATCTGGCATACTACAGATTTTAAAAACCTTTTCACTATTCTTTTTTATTTCAGGCCAGATATTGTGGAAATATTAATTACAGTAGATGTAAGAGCTGATATAATAGAATATTTTAGTTTATATTTACTTTTTGAGGTACTAGATATTGAATCCCAGGCCTTCACACTGAACTACACTATTAGTCCCCAACCCCCATTCCTTTTTTTTTTAAAGTTTTATTGATAAACAGATAGCAATGAGACAGTTTCAAATCTAATTGGAAGTACAGTTCCCCATTCCTTTTTTATTTTTGAATTTTAGGCAAAATCTTGCTGAATTGACCAGGCTACAGTTGGACTGGCAATCTTCCTGTGTCTACCTCCGTGTTGGGATTATAGGTTAGGAAATTTTATTAAGACTTAACATTCTTTGATGGTAGTTTGGGAATAACCAGCCAATTTAATCTAAGTATGAAATTTCACTTTATTATTATTTTTAAGAATAAGCATATCACAGCTTATTTTTTAAAAATTTTTTAAAATTTTTATTTGTGTGTGTGTGTGTGTGTGTGTGTGTGTGTGTGTGGCCAGCTCAGCCCACCAGGGGGCGGGGCTGGCTGGCATGTGGTGCTGGGGGATTGAACCGCGGTCCCTGTGCTTTGCTTTGCTTTGCTTAGCTTGTTCTAAGTAGGTGGTTTAGACCACTGAGCCATCTCACCAGCCCCCTCACTTTATTATAATAATAATAATAATAATTATTATTATTATTATTTGGTTTTGGTACCAGAAATCAAACTTACAACTTCATGGTTATCAGGCAGGCACTAGAAATTTCAATCATGAAGTTCTCTTTGACTCTTACAATAAATTCCTAAAGTTATGATCAGGTGATTTCTTATAGTTTTGTATTTGGCTTTTTGAGACAGTTTTATTATGCAATTTAAGCTGGCCTTTAACTAACTTTGTAGCCCAGGCTGACTTTAAACTTACAGTGATCTTCCTGTTTCAGGCAAGTACTGGGATTGCAGGTGTGTACCATCACTTAAACTTTTTCTGTTACATAAATGACAATTCTAAATCACACCTTCTGTGAAATCCAGGATAAAATGTTCTTTCTAGTATAGCTAATATGTTAGAAGGTTAACAATGTTTTTCCTACATAAACATACAAGTTACTTTACTTTGAAGCTACATCTACACAGTACTGAGGGGTAGGTATCTAACACCCAGCAAGGATGCCATTGCCAGACCATTGGTTTTTAAAAATGTATGTATGTATTTTGTATGGGGTCTCACTATGTAGCTCAGACTTGTAGTTATCCTCCTGTCTCAGCCTCCCCAGTGCTGGGATTACAGGTGGGTGCCACCACACCTGGTTTCTGTGGCCAGCACAGTGTGCCGAGGTTTCTGGGGCCAGTAAGCCATACAGTACAGGGTCTTTAGGCTTGTCAGGCAGGTGCTTAGGTCACCAAGCTACCACCCCAGCTTGAGACAAACTATCTTAAGTTGTTTTTTTTGTTTTTGTTTTTTTTTAAATGAGTCTAAAGCTGTGTAGTGAGACCCTGTACCAAATACATGCAAATCATATTCCAAGGAAAACTAAATTGCAACTATGAAATGATTTTATATTAAACATCCATATTCTCCTGGGTTAGCTGGGTTTCAGTCTCTTTTTGTCACCAGTAACACTATATTGTATTAATTATCCCGATTTTTAGTTTGAAAATATTGAATCAGTTGCTGTAATAGTTCCAAAACTTTAATGTGCTTATGAATCCATAGGGAAAACTTGTTAAAGAGATGCAAATTCTTAGCCAGGCATGGTGGCACATTGCTGTAATCCCAGTACTTGGGGACTGAAGCAAGAGGACTGTTGAGAGCAGCCTGTGCTATGTAGTAAGACCTTGAATAAAAAGAGATGTAAATTCTAATTCAAGAAACAGACATGGGCCTGTGATTTTGTGGTTTTACTCTTCTAGGTAATACTGATGCTTATAGCCTGGGAACCAAACTATTTGAGTGTTGTTTTTTTTTTTTTCCCCAAAATTATTATGGATATTTTGAAAAGTAAACAAAGATGGTAACGATAATAATATGAATCCCATGTTATTCAGCTTCAGTTATTAACATTTCACCAATCTTGTTTGATTTACTCTATTATTACAGCATGATGATTGCTTTTTTCCAGTGCTGGGGACCAAACCCAGGGCCTCGGTCATGCTAGACAAGCACCCTACCATTGAGCTTTAAGGAAGGTATTTGTAAGCTACCACTGCTGAACAGGTTGACTCAGAAACGATTCGCCTTTTTGGGCCTCAGTGTCCATATAATGAATATGGTGTCTCAGAATTGTTCTGAGGACCAATCAAATACTGTAATGGACAATACTTTAAGAATGACTTTTAAGAGTATAAAAAAAAAAATGCTACTTTTATGATAACCAAAATTCCCAGATGAAAATCTCTGTGGGCAGGTGCAGGATGTATTACAAATGCTGAAACCATACCCATTTTTGATCGAATCAAAGCAAGATTTCTTTGTCTTACAAAAGAATCCTAAACGGGCTGAGGAAAATGTCTTAGTCTCAGTGAACCTTCATGAACTAGACAGTTGTTTTATTTATTTTTTAGACAGTTGTTGTAAATCACAGTTCCTGTTAAACATAAAGCAAGCCATTCAAATGCCAAGTCAGTGGATTCAAGTTTGATTTCATTTTCAACATAATTTCTCAGACATTCCCCCTATCTCATCCCTTCAAGCCCCCTACTCTAAACCTAGGAAGTCTCATTTACTGAAGATGAAAATGTTATCTCTGTGACAAGCAGTATTTTGCTACAGATTCAAATTTGCTTGAAGTAGGTCAGAGTGACACAACTGTGATGTCTGTTCCCTGCCCCCCACTACTTAGTCAGATTGTAGCTACCCCCAAAGAGACACAGATGGTAAGTCTCTATCCTCCCTCAGAGAAACAGATGGTGAAGTGTACAGAAGCATCAGGAGTGATCTTTTACCGTAAATATTAAAAATGCAGGCAAGCAAGATCACTTACTAGTAGGAGTTTTTGTTGGCGCTGACTCCTCAGCCTCCCGTTTTGTGCCTTTCTGTGCTCTTTTAGAGCGTGGCCTGGTGATGGGCCTCTCTGATGTGCTTGTGGGACCTGGACTGTGTTTGTACCTGGGCACGTAGACATCATCAGAATCATCTCCAGAACTGCTGTATTCACAGGTGCTCACTTCAGACTTACTGTTGTTTTCTTCTTTATCAGAATCAGTGTTTGTTTTTTGTCGGAAAGGAGTGAGATGAATGCCCTCTTCCAAATTAAAGTTGTAAGCATCAGTGGAACTGCCAGATTCACCCAAGTTTTGAGAGCAAACAGTTGTTTGATTTTCACTTTTGTTCCCTTTATACTTTGGTGTATACTTAGATCTTATTCTCCTACCTTTTTTTTTCTCCTTTTTTCTTAGTCGTACATCTTTATGCTTGCTTTTTTTCTCAGATTTAGAATCTAAAATGTTCCCTTTCATTTTGGTACATTTTCCTGGTTGAATCAGCCTTGGTGATGAATTAATTTTGTCTTTGTTCCACTGACAGACATCTTTTGGTATGTGCATCTTTACTACTGGGTCTACATAGCTGATTCTTTCCAATTCAAAAGGCTGCCCTTCCAAATGACTGGTCTCAAAATCATCCAAGGTATCAGACTGCCTCAG